AGGCGTAATTTAGGCGAATTTTTTAAAATAATGATTAACGTTAAATTTTATTATCCACACTTTTATGGAAGGCATTACTCATTTTATTATAATTTTTTCCAAATAAGTGCTTTGACTAAATGATCCTTTCTTTTACAAGTCCTTTTTGGCTTATTAAAAAAATACATGAAACTAACGATATTAGTTTTAGTGGAAATTGCACAAAATCCTACTTTTCAAAACTAAAATTCTAGAATCAGATATGAGGTTTATATTTTCAAAAATCAGAAATTATACACACACACACACACACACACACACACCATGTTTTTTATATTTAATTAAATATTGATTATAAAATTTTCATCCCAAATCAAACCTAGAATTTATTTCTCTCTCCCCCCGTCCATTTCTCTCCTCTCCATCTTTGTCTTCTCTTTCTCCCACGACGGCACTAGCAGTTCGTGACGACACCGTTGTTTGTGCCAGTGGTATGAGGGGAAGTTGGATGTGGATCCGGTTATGGCGAGGAATGTGCCAGCGAGTTGTTTGTGGGAGGTATTGAGGAGGCTACCGCCGATTGGGTTGTTGTCGGCGGTGATGGTCTGTAAGGGGTGGAGAGAAACGACGAAGAAGCTTTGGAGAGCGGCGGAGGAGCTTCGGCTTAAGGTTCCGACAAAGGCACATATTGGATGTTTTGGATCGATGTTGCAGAAATGTCCTGGACTCAAAAAACTCTCTCTTACGATGAAAAGGTCAGGGATATGGAGCTGATGATCAGATCTAGGGTTTTATCAAATGGATCTGGTGATAATTCATTTATAAAATTAAAATCTGTTTGTTGAAGAATAGGAATAATTGATAAAAGTTGAAAATATACAATGCAGAGGCTAAGTGCATTCGCATATAAGGAATCTATAAAAAATTCTCAACAGAAATTGCACTAATTGTAAGGCAGATCTGGCGGGTGTTGGTGGTGGCGGTGCCGGCTTTTTAGGTTTTTTTTTTTTTTTATGTTTGTGTGTTTCAGATTGGAGACGGTGTTGGTGGTGTGACGATAAGGTGGCGGTTGGGTGCTGGTGGTTGTGAAGTTGGCTGCGGGTGGTGGTAGTTGGTGGTGTTTTGTACGGCGACGATTTTGTGGTTGTAACTGTGGTGGCGGATCTGGCGGGATCTAGTGGTTTTGGGAATGACGATGTTACTACTGATTGTTGTGGTATTTGGGTGGTGGTGATGTTGGTTTGGTGGTTGTCTAGAGGCGGTGGTAATGGTCGTGGCGATAG